GCCCGTGCTGTCCCCTTGTCCCCGTGCTGTTCCCCGTGTCCCTTGTCTCCTTGTCCCCTTGTGTTGGTGTCCCCTTGTCGCCGTGCCCCTTGTCCCCTTGTGTCCCCTTGTCACCGTGTTGTCCCTGTGTACCTTGTCCCCCTGTCCCCTTGTGTTCGTGTCCCCTTCCAGTCCTGTCCCGTTGTCCCCGTGCTGTTTTGGTTGTCCCCTTGTCTGCCCTGTCCCCTTCCCTTCTCCTCTTCCCTAAACCCTGTTCCGTTGTACGTGCTACTGTTGTCCTTGCTGTTGCTATGGCTATTCTTCCTGTTGCGCCTGTTGCCGCTGTTGCGTGTGACGCTTGCATTGTCATCGTTGTTGTTGTTGTTGTTGCTGCTGCTGCTGCTGTTGTTGTCGTTGTGGTTGTGGTTGCGGTTGTGGCTGTGGCTGTGGCTGTGGCTGTGGCTGTGGCTGTGGCTGTGGTTGTGGTTGTGGTTGTGGTTGTGGTTGCGGTTGCGGTTGTGGTTGTGGTTGTGGTTGTGGTTGTGGTTGTGGTTGTGGTTGTTGTTGTTGTTGTTACTGTTGCTACTGCTGTTTCGTAAGAATAATAAGATAACTTCATGCGCGACATTATGGAATGTGTTTATAACCGCCGTGCTTCGGACTTTAGTCTCCGGAGGTGCCGTAATCAAGCAGAAAAGGGCCTTGCTGTCGCTAGGCAGTCTTTGAAAAGAGTGCATGGGAAAAGAATCGATACACAGCGAGACTATGCGTCCGGACAAGGACTCGTTTTAATTCATGCCGTCATTGTTCAAGGACCGGTGATATTCATCATTGGCCCAAGACGACTTCGGCTTATATGACCATGACGACTTCGATTTGTAGGACCAGCTATTCCAGCCGCGCCAATATCCACTTGGAGCTACGTCTTTCCTAGCGTTACCGGCTGTAGCGGTACTCTTCGCGTCTTTGAATTTGGCACGCTCTAGCTTTGCTTTCTCAAGCTCAAGCTGCAAACTCAGGAGTGCAATTTGCGAGCTCGTCGTCGTGAGAGTTGCCGCGGACGCCGTAGTCGCGGTAGCTGTTTTCATGGTCCTGGTTCTAGTCGCGGGAGTTGTCGAGGCAGCTGTAGTCGCTGGAGTAGTTTTCTTGGTCGTCGTTGAGCTTGTTGTCGCGATTGCCTTGCTTCTCTTGGCACATACACAGCGCCCGGCACCCCATTTTCCGCACCCAGGACACTTCTGTCGTGCCATAGCGCGAACAACTACACTGAAGTCGTTGATGCAAAAATGAGCTGCCGTAAACAATCAAGGTACAAGGAACACACGCCAATAAGTTACGAGAGAGCCGATATAGATCTAAATACATATATATATACATATGTATTTATTTATATAATATACATATCTTGAAATATACTTTTTATTATATTATGCATTATACTTGCTGCCAGCGCCCCTTGCGCGCGTCCCGCTGCCGAGGCTGATACCTGACAGAGAAATGGCGGGGGGGGGGGGGCAAAAACAAATACTAAAAAAGTCTTAGCTAACCATTGAGGCTACAGTTCGATCCAAATATACTTAATTAAAGTAAATAATTAAACCAATTTGAAATAATTAAATTAATAAAGATAAAGTCAATTAATTAATTAAAATAATTAAAGTAATTAAACTAATTTAATTATTAAATTGACTAAATTAATTAAATCAATTGAATTAATTAAACTATTTAAACTAATTAAACTAATTAAATGAAATAGATTAAATTCATTAAATTACTTAAATCAATTAAATTCAGTAAATTAATTAAATTAATTAAATTAATTAAATGAATTAAATTAATTGAAAAATTATATTAAATTAAATAGGTTAAATTAATTAAATTGATTAAATTAATTAAATTAGTTTAATTCATTAAATGAATTACATAGGTTAATTAAATTAATTAATTTAATTAAATTAATTAAATTAAATTAATTAAAATAAATAAAATAATTAAATTAATTAAATTAATTACATTAATTAAATTAATTAAATTAATTAAATTAATTCATTAAATGAATTAAATTAATTAAATTAATTAAATTAATTAAATTAATTAAATTAATTAAATTAACTAATTAACTTAATTAATTAAATTCATTTCATTAATTTAATTAATGTATTTTAATTACCCAACGCACTAGCGTCATATGATACAGAAAGGTCCTACGTACATATATATATATATATGTATATGTATATATATATATATGGTGGCCCCCCCCCCATGTACCTACCATCTTTTGCTTTTGCGAGGTCACCCGGCTGTACGACGATACGGCTGATAGCACGAAATTCATGGATAACATTGGTTTTACCAATGCTTTTGAAGGATGGAGCCCAAAACGTCGGTAAAACCAATGTTATCCACAAAATCCATGGTTTTCAAACCATGTGGCTGGGAGCACGAAATTCACGGATAACATTGGCTTTACCGTTATCCGTGGGTTGGAGCCGAAAAACATCGGTAACACCAATGTTATCCACAAAATCCATGGTTTTCAAACCATGTGGCTGGGAGCGCGAAATTCACGGATAACATTGGTTTTGTCGATGTTTTGGAAGGATGGAGCCCAAAGACATCGGTAAAACCAATGGAATCTATGAATTGTGGTCTAAGCCACATGCTTTGAAACCCATGGATCTTATGGATAACATTGGCTTTACCGATGTTTTTGGGCTCCATCCTTCAAAAACATTGGCAAAACCAATGTTATCCGTGAATTTCATGCTCCCAGCCACATGGTTTGAAA